GGAGCCGGACATGCCAAGTGCATGGGGCCTGGCTGCCACATTTGGGCAAATCATCCCTCTGCTCCAATCACCCTCTGACCCTCCCTGGAGCAGTGGCCAGGCATGTCCGTGGGGGGACATCTTGTGGACAGGTCTGGGTCTGCAGGCGCGCTCAGCCTGGCTGCGGCCAGGAACACTTCCAAGGATGGAGTGCTCTGCGACCTGAGTGTGATGCAACCTGCATGTGACATCATCGTCTTTGAGGACAGAGTGCTGTGTTCTGGGCCCAAACTTCCCCAACCAAAGACCTTTGAGGAACCCAATGCCTCAACCTGCCTGAAGGCCAGGGGTGTGGGGCGACTCTGATGACCTCTAGGTAACCAAGGAGGCCATGCCAGCCTTGACCCAAGAGCTCTGTGTCAGCCCCCTTCAGTGCACACCTGCAGGGGCTGCCTCTGGGAACAGCGGCCCAGCAGGCACTTGGACCTGTGGACAGTGGCTTCCTTTGAAAAGGAACCGCAACAAGCAGCCAGTCCTAGGCCGAGAGCCTACAGTCACTCCCGGAGGTGAGGGCTGCGGGGTGGGGTGGGACAGCCCCGGGGCGCAGGAGGCAGGGTTACCCAGGGCCTATGGTCTCTGCGAGAAGGACACAGGGTGTCGGGCAGCGAGGGGCCATCTGGGCAGGGGGCACACGCTGGACAGGCAGGGCTCATGGTTGGGGTTGCCCTGGGATGGGCTGAGGTAGTTCCCAGAAATGGAATTAAGGCAGGCGGAGCAACGGCAAACCCAAGGTGTGACAGGCCCAAGGGTACCGAGCTGAGAGTGATGGGGGGTAGAGCGGGGATCAACAGGGAAATGACAGGTAGAGGGTGCCAGAGACCAGTGGCTGTGGGACGGGAGGTCTGAGGGGACTCTAGGAACAGGTGTCAGTGACAGTGCCAGGAGGACCCCGGCCCACTTGCTGCATCTGAGGAGGTGGGCACGGAGGGTGTGGCCCGGTTCAGAGAATTCAAGGAGATGCACAGGGCTTTCCATGTGTCCCTGTGTCCCGGGCACTAGTGCCAGTGGATGGGGGTGGGAGCATGTCCAGAGCCCACAGGGCTGAGGGTCTCAGGGGTAATAAGGGCTGAGTGAACCCTAAAACCCATTTCAGAGAGCTGACAACATGGAGCCCCAGACCCCATATCCAGGGGCTGAGAGAATTCAGGGGACGATGAACCCTACGTGTGTGGGGGCTGACAGGGCCTGAGGAAACCCTCATCGAGCCCAGGAACCCTCAGTTCTGTATCCAGGACTGAAAAGGCCCCAGGTGAACCCAACCCCTGTGTCCTGGCCTGATGAGGCCCCAGGTTGACCCTGTGGCCTGGGTTGATGAGGCACCAGGTGGCTTGACGCCTGTGTCCTGGCCTGATGCGGGCTCAGGTCACCTGAACCTCTGTGTCCAGGGCAGACAAGGCCCCAGGTGAACCCAACCCCTTTGTCCTGGCCTGATGAGGCCCCAGGTTGACCCTGACCCTTGTGTCCTGGGTTGATGAGGCCCCAGGTGACGTTGACCCCTGTGTCCAGGGTGGACAAGGCCCCAGGTCACCTGACCCCCTTGTCCTGGGCTGATGAGGCCCCAAGTAATCCTGACCCCTGGTCCTGGGCTGACCCCGCCCCCGTCCCCGTCCCGGTCCCTCTACCCAGCGTCCTGGGCTGACCTGGCTGGGCCCCCACTCACCTCTGGCGCTGCCCGTCCAGGCCGAGGCCTGTGGGCGCCTGCGTGGGGCTGAGCAGGCCCTGGGGCGCGGGGGTCCTGGCGGGCAGCCCGGGCAGGCCGGCGGGGGGCTCCGGCGGCGGCGGCGCTGGCGGTTCGCGGGCCTCGGCGGGCGGCGGTGGGGGCTTCTCTCCGCCCGGGCCCAGGCTCGGGGGCCGCCCGTCCAGGGAGATGTTGTTGAGGAAGAAGAGCGCGGCCTGGCGGCGCCGCGAGTCCCCGCGCCTCCGCAGCGCCTGCGGCGGGGCCCGAGCGGCCGAAGTCGGCGCAGCGGGAGGCGGGGGCCCGGCGGAGCCGGGGGCTGCGCCCGGGGCTCCACCGGCCGCGGCCGCGGCCATCCTCAGACTGCGCCCGCTGCCGCGAAGCGCCCCGCCCCCTGCCCGCGCGCCCGCGCGCCCGCCCCCCATTGGCCGCGGCGCGCCCACATGCAAATATGTCTCCGTCGCGCTCGCCTATTGGTCAGCGATGTGCCGCGCTCGGGGCGCTCCCCTGGGTCCTAGAGACCGTCGGGAGCGGCCGCAGGGAGTCGGGAGCTGCGCGCCTTCCCGCCGGTTCGAGTCCCCGTCTTGGGAGCTGCGGCCGCGGGGCTCCGGTCTTCTGTTCCCTTTGCTGTACGGCGGCTTTCACGGTCAGCCTTCATCGAACGCGCATTTTAAGGCTCCGGACCCAGGGCGGCGTGGGCGAGGCCCAGCACACTTTCCTGTCCGGAGGTGTGCCTGGGCGGTGCTTCAGCAGGCGCAGGGTGGCCCCTCGAGGAGCCCCACCGCTTCCCGGAAGGGCCGGCGTTCCACCTGGCCTCCTTCATTGACAGAAGGGACTGAGGGTCTGAGTGGAGAAGGCACCTGCTTGTGATTGAAGCCCGGGCAGAGTCCTGCACTTCCTGCAGTAGCAAAGTGACCTTGAGCCTGGCTTGTGCCCACGCCTTTTTCTGTCCCCGGGTGTCCCTGACTTCAGAACCTGCGAGCCGGCGCCACTGAGATGCTCAGGGCCTGCCTCTGGAGCCTGGGAGCCTGTCTGCGGTCTGGAGGGGAACCCACTGTATCTTTGTGGAGGGACTCAGGGCCTTGCACCCACCTGTGTGCCACCTGCCTGCTCTGTCCAGCTTTCTTTTGTGGGTTTACTTGTCTTTAAAGAGGGACAGTGATTTCAGCCTCAGGGTGTTGTCAGGATGAAACTGGCTCAGTGAGGGGATCGGGCTGTGGCTGGAGGCCAGACACATGCAGTGGTCAGCCTGCAAATGCACTGCAGTACCCCCGCGCCTGCCGGCATGCGCCCAGCCTCTCCTGTGCTGGGTGCTGGGGAACTGGTGGGACCGACAGGCACAGCGCTGGCCCTAGGAGCACCTGGTGTGTGGGGAGGCAGCATGATGGTCAACAAGACAGTGCGTGAGTGGTCAAGATAGGGCCTTCATCCCCACCCCTAGCATGGGCCCCTGCCCTTCAGGCCCCTCCCTGCCTCCCACCTGCCCTGCTCCCTCCTGTGGGCCTTCACAGGCCACCACTGGGGCTCATGCAGCACACAGCACCTCCGCTTCCTTTCCCTCTGCCCTTCCAAGTTGGCCTCCAAGGCCTATGCCAGGCCTAGGGGAAGGTGGGCAGCTCTCCTGTCCGGGAGAATGTGGGGCTGGGTGGCACGGCGGAGGGGCGGCTGCGGATTGTGGATCCGCAGAATGGGCTGCTGACTGTATGTGCCTGGGGGATCCCGTGAGCGGGGAGTGAGTGCGACCAACAGTGTAAGGTGCTGAGGCTGGGGCAGGCACACAGTGGGCCCTCCATCCCTGCTGGCTGTCACCAGGAGGAGGGGCCTGACAGCAGTGGGTGGGCCATACACCAGCGGCTTGCAGAGAATCTGGTGTCAGATGAGAACAGAAAGGGGCAAGTGAGGGTGGAGGTCAGGAGGCAGGAGGCAGCTGTCCACGCTGGCTGCAGCGCCAGGCCCTGGCGATTGGCTGTGCTGAACTTTGAGGGACCAGAAGGAATGCTGAGGCAGGAAAGGGGTCTCTTCCTGGGTCTGCTGAACCCCCTTGCTAGGCTCCCACTGCCAGGCTTCTCCCCTCCCCAGGGTGGCGATGGGTGGCCAGAAGCCAACCTGGCCTGCAGGTGGTGCATAGGGAACACACGGCTTTTGTTTCATGTGATTCTGGAGAAATTAAAGCAACCTTTAACACACCTGGGCTTCTCTCTTGGTAATTCAGTCCCTCTGGCCTCTCAGGCCAACAGGCAGACAAGCCACAGGCTGCAGGTGGGAGGCAGTGCCCCTGAGCCAGGCCCGCACTCCAGTGTGGCCCAGGCTTCACCCAGCCCAGTTGTTGGCCTGTGTCCTGCCATCCCTGTGACGCGTGGTTTTAAACGCCCAGCTCACCTTGGTGCTGTGGCTGCAGAGGGTCCTGCTGATGAGTTTTACTCCTGATTTTCCTTGGCTCTCAGCCTGAACTCTGAGCAGGTGTCAAGCGCGGTGCTCTGTCTGGATGTCCCCGACTGCAGGCCTGGCCCTCGGGCTGACTTCCTAGTTTCCCCCTTGACCTGACACCCCTCCATGGCCCCCACCTTTCCTTTCTGCCTGATCCTTGTCCATTTTTCTAGAGTTGGGGTTTCAGCAAACTTCCCAGAACATCCTAGCTCCTTGCCTACTCAGCACACTCCTGTTCATGCCTCAGAACCCACATTCGGGTTGCAGGTGCCACCTGCCTTGACCTCCCAGGGACACCTGCTCTCCTCCCCGTCCCCCAACACTGGCCATGACTTGGTGCCATTGCTCCTTTGCCCACCACTCCCTGATGCCCAGCAGAGGTGTCAGTGCCCATTGTGTCTGCCCTGGAAAGGGCAATTCTCAAACTTCACATTTAGGAGAATTATCCCTGGGAGCTTCTTAAAACACAGACTCCAGGCCCACCGCCAAGGTCCTGGTTCAGTGGATCCGGGGTTGGGCCCAGGAATCTGTTTCTGAAGCTCCTCAGATGGGAGGGACTGATACCCATCCTCCCTGGAGGAGCAGACAGCCCTGAGTGCTCCCGGTGGAGTCCTGGCGAGCTGCCCTGTGGCTACCAGGCCAGGGACTAGTGAGGAAGGGCAGGTGCACACGCCCTCTGCCGTTGCCAGGCACTTCCCTGAGGGCGCCGTGGTCCCTTCCCGCTGCGGACTCTGCAGAGGAGCTGGTTTCATTCTGCTCTCCCGAAAGGGGATGACCTCCCAGTCCCTGGCACAGTCAGGGGTGTCCTGGGGCCCGGGCGGGTGGAGGCCCAGTTGAACTCGGCCCTGCCAGACACACGCATGATTCTTCAGGTGTTTATTCTCCATCACTCAGGGGACCCCATCTGCGAGGGTGCTGCCGCCCACCGCCTCCCTCCACCCTCACTGCCAGACATCTGTTTGCCGGGAGCCCACGAGGGGGCGTCCAAGACTGTGCTCGGAGCTTGGTGGGCAGGGGTGCGGGTCCGAGTGGTCCGTTGCCTCCCAGAGCATGGGCACTGCGTGGGAAGGGCTGCAGTGCACAGCAGTGGTGGGGCTGGGCTGGAGCCTGAGTGATCCTGCCTCCAGTCCCCACACCCCCCAGGGAGCAGGTGCTGGGCTGTGGGAGGGGCCACAGAACATTTCCCAGGTGGGTGGAGACAGGGTGAATCGCCAGCCTGAGACCCCTCTTGGTCCTTTAGCCCTTCTTGAAGTGGGCCAGGATGTGCCCACCACTGGCTGTGCGGGGCTGCCTGCTGGTTGGGTGGTGTGGCCTCTCCAGGCCCTGGTGGGCAGGTGGAGGGCCGCCCTGGGCTCACTGTGGGTTCGGTGCAGGCTGGCTAGGTCTCCTCCGAGGGGCTGCTGTTGGGGGAGGGACTGTCGTCCTTGGCGTCCCTTGGGCTCCCGGGGCTCTCAGTGGCTGTCAGTTTCTTTCTCCCTCTGGATGGCTTTTTGGAGGCTATGGGAAGTGGTTGGAGGTCAGGCCAGAGCTGCGTGCCTTCCTTTGAGGCAACACTGGCTCTCACCTAGGGCCTCCTGGGTCTCCTCTGGGCGTGGGGAGCTGGGTGCTTGGGGAAGTTTACTGGCCACCCTTGTTCCTACAGAAACCAGTGCCCAGAGCAGGAGTAGCCTGATCTGAGGGTGAACCCTGAGAACTGGGTGGAGGGTGGACACTCTCCCCATTGTGTGACCCCGAAGACGGCGCTGACCCCAGTGGCCCCCTTGCTACCTTGGAGGGAGCCAGGCCATAGTGGCTGGCCTGAAACTGGCTGCGGGCCTCAGCGGTCCTGCCCCCGGGCTGGGGCCGCAGGGGAGGGGCGCCTGGTCCCTGAGACGGTTCGGGGATGGGGATCCTGCTGAGATGCTGGGCTCAGGCCGTCTCTGGGGCACAGTGAGCTCAGGCTCTGAGGTAAATGGGTCACGTTTGGATCCTGACCCAGCTCCCAGACCTGTGACCTTGGGCAAGTGACCTCTCCCCTCTCAGCCTCCATTTCTGCACCAGCCAAACCGTGATGATCCCACCTGCTGGGCAGGGTCGTGAGGCTCACAGACAGCCACAGCTGCACTCCCTCTCCCGGGGCGCCAGGCACGAGGACACTGGCTTTGGCGCTGAGCTGTGCCCATGCTGGGCAGGGACCTGCTCTCACTGACCTCCATGTCTGTTTCTCAGGAACCCCTGCCAGCGTCCCTGGCCCCGGCTCAGCTAGGAGCACAAGGGGGTGCTGGCTCACAGACTGCACCCCCCGGGGCCATGTCCACCCACTCAGCAGGAAGTGCCTCGAATAAGGGCCGTGCTCATCTTCACTGCCGCTCTGGGCAGATGCAGGCCGCGGCCGCCTGCCAGCAACAGTGGCACGTAGTGGCAGCGCCACCCTGCCCGCTGCCTGTGGGACCTGCCCGCTGCCTGTGGGCCCTGCCTGCTGCCTGTGGGCCTTGCCCGCTGCCTGTGGGCCCTGCCTGCTGCCTGTGGGCCCTGCCCGGACAAACACCAGGGCCGTATGATTAGGTGTTCAAAGTCTCTCATGGGCTCCTGGACCCCAGCTGGAGCTGCCATTGAGCCCAGAGCAGGAAGTGAAAAGTTGTCCTGATACCCTCGGACCAGGGCCGAGGCTCCTGCCAGCTTTGCTGGGAGGAGCTGGGCCCAAGGACACTGCCCTTGGCAAACACTGGAGAGCCATCCGCAGTTCCCCAGGGGAGCAAATGTGCCCCATGTCCCTTGGAGCTGTGCCCTCTGCGCTGCCCCTATCTGCAGGTGGACAAGAGGGATCTGCTCCTCATGTCAGTGGCTTATCCTGTGCACCAGGACGCCCTTCCTCCCAGGACGATGGTGGGGACAATGACCATCCCCTGGCTCCTTCTCGCCCTGAAATCTTCTACGATCCCTAATGTCAGCCCCCTTACAGGCGAGGAGACTGGGGCTCAGATTTGGAAGGACCTGACACCAGGCTACACAGTCAGAGGCTACACAGGAAGGACTCACTCTGGCTGCCCCTGCCCTCCTCTGTGGGGTTCATTTGGGGAGGATTGAGGTTCATTTTTGGCTCCATCATTCTGAGGCTACCATTCTCCAGGCAGCCAGGAGGGGAGGTGGCACTGAGGAGAGGTGGGTGCTGTGGCTACCCCCGCCCCGCCTCTCTGCACCTGCCCCATGCTGGCTGTACCTTTGTCCCCGGGCTCCGAGGCCTGCTTCCTCTTCCGTGGCAGACCCTGCCCGTGCTCCTGGGCGCAGATACACCCGGGCCCCTCCCCAGTCGTGCTCTGGTCCGCCTGGGGAGAAGGGGGTGTGGTCAGGAGGAGGAGCACCTCCCGGCCTGGCCCTGCGGAGTATGTGGCCTGGACCCACCTCGCTGCCTGGGGTGTCTGTCTCATCCAGTTCGTCGGACTCTGGTCTCAGCACTTCAGCCTTGCTGGGCTCTGAAGGAAGCAGGGTGTAGGATCAGGCCAGGCTGGTGGCCCCAGGAGTCTCCCAAGCCTGCCAGACTAGGATTGGTGGAAACAACTCTGCAGATGGGGAAACTGAGGCACAGAAGGCCAAGTGACCTGCCCCAGGGCACCTGCTGACAGGAGGCAGACTGGGGTTTGGGCTCAGGCCCAGTGTCCCCATCAGCTGGGGTGCCTGCCCCTGGCTTGGATGCTGTGTGATGGGGTACTCAGCCTGCTTGCCAACCCTAATTGCTAAGGTGCTTTTCCCCCTCACTGAGTGTGGTTAGAGAGGCTCCTGCTGGGCCCTCAGCTTCCTCCAGTGGCTGCAGGTGGAAGAGCCAAGCCCTGGAGCCTGGAGTTGCCCTGTCAGGTCGGCAGGGCAGAGCTGGGCCTGGAGACACCTCTTCCCGGTGGTCACTGACCACCACCCTCTCTCCCCCTGGGGAAAACCCCTCCCAGCTGGACTCTGGCCCCAGGTGCTCCCTGTACCTGAGTGGCCGTCCAGGTCAGGCAGCGGTGGGTGGGGAGGCAGCGGTGGGTGGGGAGGCAGCGGTGGGTGGGGAGGTGGCAGAGGCCTCCCTGTGTCTTCATCTCCTGTCCTGCCTGGAGAGGACAGGCTGAGCTGGGACCCTGGAAGTGGGCGTGAGGGGTCCTGGGGGGAGGCAAGCAGGTGGCTGGAGTTTAGTTGGGAGACTTCCCTGCCCCCAGCTCAGCCCTGGATGGCCGGTGGGACCCCTCTTGAGGCTGCAGCTGGTGGGGGGGGCCCGCCTTTCCCTTTCTAGCGTGGATGAGGCAGCCTTGCTTTCTCCCTGGGAACCAACTTGGTGGGCAGAGGGAAGAGAGCAGCCTGAGGTCCGGCTGGACGCTGGCCCGGGATGGGGGATGTGGAGGCTGAGGACAGGGTCTGAGCCAGGGCCGGGCTCCTCACCACGGGAGTGCGAGCCTCCTCCTGCTCTGGTGCTCTGGTCCCCTTGATGCCATTGCTGAGTGCCTGGGGACTGCGAGTCAGGGGTCCAGACTGGGTGGGTGGCTCGGGGCTGGGAGTGTGGGCAGTGGCAGGGCTGAGTGACCCATGCTGGCTGGCCGGCTTGGGAGTGTCCTGGCCCCGGGCCCGGCCCCACTCCGAGAGGTCCAGGGGCTTGTCTGGGGCACAGTCCTTCGCTGCTGCAGCCTCCGTCCTCTGGGCGTGGCCTGGGCCTACAGGCTGTGTGTGCCGCCCTCCAGGCAGGCCTGCTGCTGTGGCCAGAGCTGCCCTGGCCCCCTCACTCTCAGGGCCCTCAGAGTCTGAGCCGACTGGTGGGGAGGGCGGCATCTCCCTGGGTGTGGGCTGGCCCCTTGGCCTGACACTGCCTACCCTGGCCCGAGCCCGCAGCTGCTGCTGGGCCAGGAGCAGGTGTAGTGCCCCCTCCAGGCGAAGGTCCTGCATGCCTGCCAGGGCATTGGGCAGCCCCAGCAGTTCTATAGGCTCCTCCCAGGCCTCTGCTTCTCCGGCCTTCAGGTCCTGGAGCCGGGGGTCACGGGGGGCTGCAGCAGGGGCCAGGGGGCTGCTGCGGGGGCTCCGAAGGTGCAGGGAGAGGGGGCGGTTTAGGAGGCAGAGCCGATCCATCTTCGGGGAGTGCTTCAGGGTCTCATGGGTCATGGCAGAGGGCCGGGAGGCCCGCAGGAAGCTGTGAGGGAGGAGAAGCCCAATGACCATGGCTACGTTGAGCTGTGACCGTCCCAGTGAGCCCTGAGAGGAGGAGACGACAGGCACCCACTCCACAGGTGAGGAAACTGAGGTCCAGAGAGGTGGAGCAAGCTGCATGGGTCCCATGGCAGGCAGTGGAGGGAGGGGAGGCTCAGCCCCCAGCTCTGGAGGCCATGCTGTGTGGACCTGGCCAGAGGTGGCCTGTGATCTGGGCTCCAAGGCAGGGCCAGATGCCGAGGCCTCCGTGTCTTTTTGGCGGAGACATCAGCCCCCTGCTCCTCACCTGGAGGGTCCTAGCCACCTGCCCACCCTGCACACCCTACTTGTTCTCACACAATGTCCCTGTCCCCTGCCCCCACGCCCCACACCTGGCCACTCCGGAGTTGTCCACCTGGGATCTTTGCTCCAGGCTGGGTGCCCAGAAAAAGTCAAGCCAGAGAAGGTCAGGGGCTGTGAGGGATAATCAGAGGGACTGCCCTGGGACCAGGGTGAGAGAGGAGCTTGTCTGAGGCTGCTCTGGGTAGGGGTGGGGCAGGCGGGCACCTGTCCAGAGAGAGGCCGCGCTCATACGCTGGGCTGGGTGGGCTGCTCCTGGCAGGCAGTGGTGGGGGCGTCCCATTGGTGGGGCCACGGTCAGCAGGGCAAGCCTGGGACCCAGGCCGTACCACGGCGATGGTCCCGTGCAGCTGGTTGGAGATGCGCTGGGGGCTCTGTGAGGATGGGTGGGTCAGCCTGGGCAGGGGCATGTGTGACCTCTGCTGTGGCCTCTGCTGCCTGCCCTGGGCTGCTCCCACTCTGCCCCTGCTCACTGCCAGACCCACCCACTCAGGGCTGCGCCCCCACCCACACCAAATGGAGCGCAGTGGCTCCTGCCCGGGACGAGGGAGGGGCACATTCGGGGTGAGGTGCATGAGAGGCTGGCATACTGCAGGTGCAGCTGCCTCCAGCCTCCTGCCTGCACTGGCCCAGCTGCGCATGGTGGGCTCCAGGTCCCTGCACTTACCATGTCTGGGGCCCACGACTCAGGCAGGGTGGCCCCTGGTGAGATTTTGGCCACTGGAGATGCCCTGTGCCCTGCTGGCTTTTCTGTGGGAGGAGAAGCCAGGGGTGGGAGCTTGGGAGGTGCCCAGAGGGGCGGCGGCTCAGCCCCAGTGGGAGGATCCCTGGTCCTGCAGGGGCCCAGCCTCTCAGCCTCACCCGGTCCCCACAGTACCTTCTCCCTGTAGGCCCGCTCCCTGGTGGTCTTCCTCAGCCTCCTCATGGCCTCCTGGTGGCTTCTCTGTGATGGCCTTCCAGCCACCAGGGGAGGGGAGCAGCAGGGGTGAGGGGGGGTCTGAGGTGCCCTCCTTGGCCGGGGGCTTGGGCCTATCTCTGGAGGGGAGGGAAAGACAGGGAGGGTGAGGGAGAGTAACATCCCAAGAGAGGATCAGAAAAGCCGGGCCCACTCCTGGGTGACCCCAGGGGACGCAGCGGTCCCGACACTGCCTGAGAGCCCCCCATGGGTGGTTCCCCCAGGGACGTGTGCCGAGCACTGCTCAGGGTCTGCTGGGGAATGGGGTGTCTGAGCCCTGGGACTCCTTCTCACGCACCCCAGGCCCCGAAGCCGCTTCACCTCCTCCTTCAAAGTCTCGTTCTCTTCCTTCAGCCCGTTCATCTCGTTGGCTGCAAAAGGCACTGATTAGCAAAGCAGGCAGGGGTTGGGGGGGACAGGGGCTGGTGTGGGGTCATCACAGCACCAGGGAAGCCCCTCAGCAGTGCCCCCAGCACGTAGCCCAGGGCCTGGCAGGCAGCAGGTGCGCCGTGGATGCTGCTGCGTGCGTGGCTGATTGGATGCCGCTGAATGAGCCGTGCCGGCCTCGAGGGAAGGGGGCTCGCCCTTGGTCATCAGGAGGACCACGGAGCCTCAGGACTGCAGGACCTTCCGCATGGGGAGGGAGGCTGTGTTGAGGGAGGGCCACACCAGCGCCAGCTGGGGACTGTGTGTGTGTCTGTAGATTGGGTTGTGAGGTTCCCCCAGTGGTGTGGGGCCGATCGCCCTGCCTCCTTTCCCCACACCCCCACATGGACTGAACAGGCCCTGGGGTCGCCTGGCCCCGTGGGAGAGGACCCCGGCTGTCTGGCGGGTGGGGCTCACTGAGGATGAAGATGTGCTGTAGGTTCTGCAGGTGGGAGCTCTGAAACTCCTGCTGCCGCTTCCTGGCCAGCTCCTGGGTGACCAAGCAGCGGTCACACAGGCCGGCCCGCAGCCTGCAGGGATGGGGACACAGGGAGTCTGAGGGATGGCATGGAAGCCAGAGGGCCTGGGACCCACCACCCCACTGCCTGGAAGTGCCCCTGCCCTTCCCAAACTATTCCGTACAGCCCCAGGCCTCTTCCCACCCCGTGGGCTAGGGGTCCCATGTTTCACTGAGTTTGGGGAGAAATCTTGAAAATGCAGTTTACTTAAGGCTCTGAGATGTCCTGCAGTGGAGAAACCTTCCTGGTTCAGTTTGTCCTGCACTTTCCCAAACTTGTTCTCCGAGGAGCCCTGTCATCTCCCCCTCCCCTGAGCCCACCGGTCCTGGCCGTGCTGCGAGGTGTCCTCCCAGGCCCACCTGTTTTCCAGCACCCGAAGGTTCTCCTTCAGTGTCTTCTGCTGTTCCCGGAGCTGGTGGTTCTTGGCAAAGAGCTCCTCGATCCTCTGGGCATCCCTGTGGCGGGAAACAGCTAAGGTGGGGTCCTGTTCCATCCAGGAAGACACACGCTGTCCCCACCATCCAGCCTGGGGGGCCAGTGCCATTTGGCACCTGCAGCCTTGGTCTGGGGCTGGATCCTGCTCAGTGCCCCTCACTGTGGGGACTTGCCCTTGAAGTGGGCCCTGTGGGGCAACGCCTAACCCGGCGCCCCCCCAATCATCTGCACGCCCCTCTGTGACGTCTGTCTTGTCCACGCACCACTTTAGCGCCATGGTGCAGGCAGAGCCACAGCCAGGTCTATAAGCCCGGAACGCAGGGAGCCTGCCTGCCTGCCAGCGTATGACCAGACACGACCCCAGCTCACCACGAATGTACTGTTGATATTCTGATCATGATCCTGGGGTGGGAGACACCCTGAGTAAAGGGCTTGCCCCGCCCCTGGGAGGCCAACGCACCTGGGTTCAAGTCCTGCTCACCATGTGACCTTGGACGAGTGACTCCCCCCTGCCTGCACACTGAGCCTCAGTTTCCCCTCTGCACCATAGGATGGTGGCACACCGGAGCTTCAGGGGGATGAAATGGCCAGTGTGGCCCTGCGGAGAGGGGCCCTGCTTGGCCTGACTCACCGGCACCTCTCTGAGTTCAGTTCCAGAAGCTTGTTCTGCAGGCCTGGGGGAGTGAGCAGAGGGGCAAGTGGGGGCAGTCAGGCCCAGCTGCTGCTTTTCCTGCAGCCTCCCTACCACGGGGTCTGGGCAGAGCTGCAATGTGGCACTCTCGTCCCCTGCACCCCCTGGGGGAGCCCTGCCAGGCGGGCCCCTGTCTGTGCCTAGGCCCAGGGCTGCCTGAGCCTTGGTGGTCTTGGCCCAGTATCTGTCGCTTCCCCTGGGGTCTCTGCCTCTGGCATCTGTCTGGGGGTGTCTGGGGGTGAGCAGGGACCCCGGTGCCGCAAGTGACCAGCCACCTGTGAAAGGCAGAGGGACCAGAGGGCCATTTTGTGTGTGTGTGTGTGTGTGTGTGTGTGTGTGTGTCATAGCTAGTGTTGAAATAAGATGAGCTTTTGGGGCAGACCCCATCAGACCTCCTCCTTGCCATATCTTGGGATCCAGCCTGGGCCTGGCTAACCCCAGCAGCCCCACCTCTCTGGGTTGCCTGGGAGACAGCCAGGTCCTTGGACCTCCAGGTGGGCACGGGTGCTCAGTGGAAGGACCAGGGGAAGGTGCTGGCTCTGGGACTGGACTGGGGGTGGTGGGGGGGCTTCGGCCCTGTCCCTGGTGGGGGAAGTGGACAGGGGTGGGGCCTAGGGTGTATCCTAGAAGGAAGAGAAGAGTTGCATCTCAGTGCCTTGACATGTTCTGCATGGGTCCAGAGAGCCATAAGCTCCTGTTTCTGGAAGAGGCTGTCCCTGCTGTGGTGAGCTCAGCAGGCCGGCCAGAGTGGGCTCTTCTTTCTGCCACATGGCCAGCCCCATGGGCGAACAAAGCATGGGCAGCATGCAGCCTGCGGGTGGCAGGTGGCCATGAGGTGTTGGTGGCAACCCTTGAAAGTGCCCCTCCCCCTTGGGGCCACACTCTGGGAGTGGCTCGAGGACATCCCAGCTTGAGGTCAGCACTTGCGGGGCCCAGGCAGGGCGTCTGTCCACTTTGTCCCTCTGGGTCAGGACTTGGGTCAGGACTTGGGTCAGGACTCCCCTGCCTGGGCTGAAAAGACAGGGTCCGTCCCCTGACTTGTTGGGAATTGGAGGTGATCATGGGTGCACCCTGGCCTGCCCCGGCCCTTAGGTGAGGGCTGCGGCATCTGTCCCTGGCCCCTCACCCAGGACTTCCTTCTCGTGGATCTCCTTCAGCCTGTTCAGTGACTCCGTGAAGCTCTCCATGGCTCCCTGTGGCCCTGGCCCGGGCCCCTCTGCACGGGGGTTGTGGAGATGCTTGCAGCCTCTACAGCCCCTCTGTGTCCATCCTGAAGAGGAGGAAGAGGGGACAGGATCTGCTCAGGAAGCGCTTGTGGGCTGTGGAGTCCAGGAGAGGATTGGGACTCCTTGCGTCTATGTGGAGCAGACCCCACGTCATGTGGTAGGGCCACTCATGGGAGGTGGGCTGGAGGCTCCGGAACCCCACGGGCAGGCGCAGAGATAGTACATTGTGTGGCTTCCTCCCACACATATGTGGACGGGAGCCAGAGGGCAGGGTGCTGGCTGCTGTGCCGGAGGGGATGGAGGGGCCAGGGGGCATCTAGGGGTGAGTGCCGGCCCCTCTGAGCCGCCCCGTTCTCCCCAGGTATCCAGCCCATCAGTGCCTGGCCTGTCCCCACATAAGCCCTGCCCCTGGACCTCAATGGAGGGACAGGGAAGCCTGGTGAGAGCTGGATGGTGCCAGTGGCACCTGTCCAGATGTGACGCTGGGAGTCAGACCTCACCGGCAAGAGCCCCTCAGACCTGACCATGCCACTGTACACACTCCAGCCCCAACACTACGGTCACAGCGGCTCCTTCCCTTTCACCGGAGCCCTTGTATTCAGTTCCCTCCTGGGATCTCTGCCCGCCTCCAATGCTGTGGCAGCTTCAATCTTGTCACATAGGCACACACACACACATACACACACAGATAGCATGTACACACAACACACATGCACACACATGCAAAAGACACACAGAGCATGTACACACACAGCACACATGCACCGACAGACATGCACACACACAAAGCATGTATACACGCAACACACATGCACACACCTACAGACACACACATACAACACATATGTACACAGACAGAGATGCCCACACACAACACACAGAGATACATAGACATGGTTACGTGCTGACGCAAATCTGTGCAGACATAGAGACACGGCTACACACGCAGTTGCAGGTACACAGAAACACACACAGCCACAGCAGCCCCCTCTACCCAGAAGCAGCTCCCACACGCAGAGGCTGGAGGGTTCCAGGAAGGGGTAGGAGCCACTACCTACTCCTGGCACCTCAGTGCCTTGACATGTTCTGGATGCAAGTGTGCTTGTGTGTGCACGCCCGAATGAGTGTGCATGTGTGTGCTGTGTGTGTGTATGATAGCCAGTGTGCATGTATGTGTACCGTGTGTGTGCACACCCGAACGAGTGTGCATGCGTGCATGCTATGTGTGTGCATGCCTGAGCCAGTGTGCATGTGTGTGTGTGCTGTGTGTTCACGCCCGAGCTGGTGTGCATGTGTTTTTGCCCTGTGTGTGTGTGCTGTGTGTGTGCACGCCCAACCTACCGTGGAACCACTGGTGCATCACCTGAACAACTGTGTCGGCCTCCTCCCTGCCTGGCCTCCCCCTCAAACTCCCCTGAACCCCCTGCCTCCCCGCATCTCCTCCAGAACCACTCTCCAGGGTGACCATCCCTGGGAAGCTCTGGTCTCTGCTCAGATGCGCACTACTCTGCTCAAAATCCAACTTTGGGCTTGTGGCTGGAGGCCATACCCAAGGCCTCGCAATGGCCAGCCCAGCCCAAGTGGACCACAGAGGGGAGCAGCCACGGTTGCATCTGGGTTTTCAAAGGTCAGCCTGCAGACGCCCACATGAGGGTCCTCTCCGCGGCAGCATTCTACAGAACCGTCCCAAACGGGACCCCCAAACCCCATCCCATGATGGGTGGAATGGCGGCCACCCAGCCCCATGCCCACCCCAGTGTGGCGGCCACCCAGCCCCATGCCCACCCCAGTGTGGCGGCCACCCAGCCCCATGCCCACCCCAGTGTGGCGGCCACCCAGCCCCATGCCCATCCCAGTGTGGCGGCCACCCGGCCCCACGCCCATCCCAGCGTGGCCAAACCACCCGAGACAGACTTGAGGGTGCATTGAACACAGAAAGAGGCACTTGCCCTGGGGCCCTGGAAGTTGGGTGGTGGGTGTCTTTGGGGCTGAGGCTGGGGGTGCCTGTGACTCAGGGTGGCAGGCCTTGGGACCCCGAGAGAAATCATGGGGCCTGGGGTGGGGATGGTGACTGGAGCCCCTTGGAAGGAGACTCTCCTAATTCCCGCCGAGCCCTTGCACCTGTGGTCAAGCGTGTTAGTGCTGAGCCTGGTGGGGCAGCGAGGGGTGTGGGACAGAATGTGGCCCCTGTTTGGGGGTGGCCACAGCGTCCCCAGGGGCCCCTGACAGGGCTGGTGGGGTTGCATGGAAGGCGGAGCATCAGGATGCTGGACTCCAGAGACTCAGTCCACAGACCCGCCTGAGCTTTGGGACCTCAGCCACCCTCGGAGGGAGTGGGGGTGACAGTTGGCAGCTCTGTGTTGGGTGGGTGAGGGATCCTGGGACCAGGAAGACTTGGAGCTTTCCTGGTGGGAGGCTGGGAGGGAGCCAGAGCTCCCTGGGAGGGATGTCTTTGCCGGTGAAGGGGGCCAACAGGACGTTGAGCTCCAGAGGTGGGGACAGCATGGAGCCTGCCGGAAGTAGGTCACGTGGCCAGCATCAGTGGTTCTGACCCCCGTTTCCCAAACTCTATACACACTGAGACCTTCCCGACAGCCCATGGAATCTTGACCACAACACGAAGACCCCGCTCCAGATGGGAAACTGAGGCTCAAACAGCTCAAACCTCCCGTCTCAGTCACCCAGTGGGAAGTGGGATCTGGGTTGTGCCTGGCTCCTGGGGCTGTGGGTCCTGCGTGCTCTGCCTGTGTGGACTGAGGCATCTTCCCCATGGCTCTGGTGCACCCAGCTGCACTGGCTTTTCCTGGCCAAGGGGCCCCCGGGAGGAAGATGTCAGAGCCGGGCCTCCCTAGGCTCAAGCAGCTGAGGAGGGCCAGGAGGGGGCTGAGCTGCAGTTCCTGAAATTCCACCCGGACCCGCCCAACAGGCTGCTCTTCCCTGGCCCCCAGCACCTGCCATGTGGGCTGGGTCGACGCCCATAAAGGAGCCGCCCGAGGGAGCCCATGGTACCTGTGGGCCTGGGAGAGGTCTGCACAGGAGAGGTGGGCTTCCTTCCCAGTGAGGTCACCGTGCTACAGAGGCCGGGACTGTGCCTCTGCTGTGCTTCCCACTCACAGGATCCTTTCTGTGCCCCAAACCACCTGCAGGCCCCGCCTGGCTGCCACCCTCAAGGCCCCCAAAGGACTGCAGAAAGAGTCCCCACCCCACTGGGCAGGGAACGGCCCAGACACATGCCCGGAGCACGGCTGGTGGGCGTCTGGAATCGCTGTAGGGTGCATCCTGCTGGGGACCCTTGTTTCCCAGAGGCCCAGAGTTGGGGTGGGCCTGGGCAAGGTCACTGGGCCCGGTGAGTGACAGTGCCTGGGGCTGGGGGGACTTCCCTCAGGGTGAGCAGGTGACAGAGATGCAAAGTGGCCAGGATCAGTCTCCCAGGCTCCGGCGCCTCTGGGACAGCCCCAGTCCCAGCTTCTACCCTCCTAGAGTGCTGGAGAACTCCGGGGAAGGGATGGGAGATGGAGGGAAGTTGCAAGCCCTGATGCTTTTGGGGAGAAGAAATGAACCGGGATGGTAGAAATTCACCCAGACCTGCGCCCGAAGCCTTGTGCCGGGGGTGAGCAGGGGAGTCAGTGGGGCTGACTTTTTCTTCCCGAGTCAGCCTTCTTGGGGTTTGTTGGGCTTGCCAAGGGCAGCTAGAGGTGCTGAGGCCGGGGGAACTCGGAGGGAGGGTCTCCTCCAGGCCTGGGTGGGGGCTGCAGTGGGACTGTGATGGGGGAGCAAGCCTGCCGAGGTGGGGAGGGGCTGGGCTGAGACTCTTGGGGGGCTTCACAGGGCTGGGGTGAGACAGCTGGGCTCTGGTCCAGGGTAACCCTCAGCCACTCCTCCCACTCCCAGCCCTCCCACTCTGGGAGTCCAGGCTGGAGGGTCTCTGCAGGTGCTGAGCCCCCTGGAAGGAGTGAGGGAAAGGGAGGGCAGGCTAGTGAGCCGCTGTCCCACCTGCGGCTCACAGCTGGGCCATGGGAGGGATAGGTGTGAGGGGTGCATGGCTGTCCCCCTCGACACCACCCTCACCCCACCATGCCTTGCCCTCTGCTCCATTTGCCACTGAGAACATGATCCAGAGGTAGGGTCTTGCCCACAGTCAAAGCTAGTGAGAGCCGGGCTGGGCTTTGGCTAGCCCAGGTCCGCACCTCCGCCTCCTGCGGTGAGGTGCTACTGGTGCCAGCACCTTTGCCTTCCAGGGACTGCTCCTTAAAACCAAGAGGCGACGTGCTGCTCTCACCAGTATGGAACAGAGCCCATCCAATAAACTGGTGCCTCTTATCCCCCAGCCAGGACCCAGGAGAGCCCTCCATGGGGAGCCTAATTAGGCTGGCAGACCACCTTCCACCTCATGTCCTCACCCAGGGAGTGGACATGCACTGTGGGCCCTGCCTGTCCCTCAGGACTCCCACCTCCCTCTGAAGTCCCCAGAGCCCCCACCTGCCCTCCTAGGGTCTCCACCCACCCTCCTAGGGCCATCTGGAGTGGCCACTCAGAGCGGGCAGAGGTTTGCTGTTGTTAATCCAGCCTCACGGGTTCTCAGAGCCCCAGTACAGAGGGTACACCCCCCACCGCCCGCTGAGCTGGCTGGGGTGGGGCAGGGGTCGCATTCCTGAAGGGTGCTGGCTGGAGAGTCAGTCTGGGCAGAGGGTAAAGGTGTGGGCTTCCCAGTCGACAGCCCTGGTGGGGCTCTTGGACCTGTCTCTGGTCTCTATGCCACCTTGGGCAAGTTGCTTTTCCTCTCTGAGCCTGTCTCCTCACCTGGGAGTGAAGGCACCCCACCCCTGTATCAGGCTGCTTAGAAGCTCCTTACAGGTGGTGCCTGTGCGCCCAGGAGCTCCGTAGACGGGGGTGCTCAGTGAGCAGCAGAGGGAGACCCCGAGTTCACCTGTGCCTCCCTCATGTGGGACCCCGGGTG